CCAGGTTTTCTTCTTCATTTTGTTTTCTTTTTCTGAGATCCTGGCTTCCCCCTTTCCAAATTTGTCTGTTGAAGTAATTTATGCAGCTGACCCTACATGGATGACATCTTTGGAATATGTTTTCCAGTTCTTTGGGTGGCATCTCTACCAATAAACAGTTATTCCTAGAAAACTTTTTTCACAAATAAGGGAACACAGGATGCTGGAAGCCATGGCATTGTCCAGAGAGTCTGAACATGGGTTGCTAATAGCAGACTTTGGTTGGTTCCTGATTAGGATGCCCAGTCGAGTTTGATCCAGTTCCATTTCTGTTCCCTGCCATCCCCTTTGAACCTCCTCAGTAGCCCACTTTTCGCTATGTTCTCCAGAGTATGAGATGGGTGGACAGTGTCCCCTCTCCATGTTATTCCCCATGGTATAAAGTGCCATGCTTCCCTCCATGGCCTTAGAGACTGCCTTTTTTCTTACCTGCCACACATTCCCTACATTGGTTGGGAGGGGATGAAGAGGGCCAGTTGGTAGAAGTCCTGAAAGTGAAGCCCAGCTCAGAGTCTGAGCTATCAGGGGAAACTGGGACATAGCAGGGAGATTTGGGCTCTGAGTTAGTCCAGAGATTGGGCAGGGATGGGGATTATAGGTGGGATCCATGGTGAGCATGAGGAAACAAGGACAGGATTGGCCTCAGCTTGAAGATATCTGAACCCCCTGGCAGGGCACTCTCCACAGTACCTTCCAGAAGCAGGACGATTAGGAAAGTCAGGACCAGGGTCGTGGCTGCCAGATACATACTATGAAGCAGACTGGACCTCCCTACCATGTTCTTCTCAGGATTTGGGGAGTCAGGCATTCCCCAGATCTCACCTGTGACCTCTCACTTCTGCTTCTCTGACAGCAGCACACCAAGCAGCATTGCCGTCCTGCTTGGGCCTACCTCCTCCAGTTTTGTAGACCTGGACCTCTGCCTCAAGTTCTTTCAATGCCTGTCATTTCTTCCTTCAGTTCTATCATGCCTGTGACCAGCCAGGCATCGTGGTTTTCTGCATCATGGACTACGATGTGCTGCAGTTCTGTGATTTCCTGGGCTCCTTAATGTCCGTGTGGGTCACTGTCATTGCCATGGCTCGTTTACAGCCCGTGGTCAAGCAGGTCAGTCCAGAGTGGGCCCTGGGGCACAACCATGGCCAGGTCTAGTTGAAATCCACTCCTGACCTCTCCCTGGGGGCATGTCCAAGTGCCTCTTGTCATTCTGACCCAGCCCCTGGACTGCTGTCTGTCACCTGGCCCTAGCCCAGCCCTGGAGTCCTCTTTCTCTAGGTGCTGTATTTGCTGGGCGCTATGCTGCTGTCCATGGCTCTGCAGCTTGACCGACACGGACTCTGGAACCTGCTTGGACCCAGTCTCTTTGCCCTGGGGATCTTGGCCACAGCCTGGGTAAGGGTGGGGAGGAATGTCGGGGGAGGGTTCCAGCAGGACTTGGGCGCCGGGCCCCAGGTATCTGGTCCCCAGTTTGAGGTGGGCTTGGCTCTCTCGTTATCACCTGCTGCTGGCAGTGTCCACTCCAGTCTTGGCAGGTGTCTTTAGGTTACAACCAGGGCTCAGAGGAAACCTGAGAGTGACCAGCTCTGGCTTGGGTTATAGGGCTTGGCATTCCTGAGCCCCACTTCTCTGTCTCCCCTAGACAGTACGCAGCGTCCGCCGCCGGCACTGCTACCCACCCACATGGCGCCGCTGGCTTTTCTACTTGTGCCCGGGCAGCCTCATTGCAGGCAGCGCTGTCCTGCTTTATGCTTTTGTGGAGACCCGGGACAACTACTTCTACATTCACAGCATTTGGCATATGCTCATTGCGGGCAGTGTGGGCTTCCTGCTGCCCCCTCGTGCCAAGACTGACCACCGGGTCCCGTCTGGAGCCCGGGCCCGGGGCTGTGGTTACCAGCTATGCATCAACGAGCAGGAGGAGCTCGGTCTCGTGGGCCCAGGAGGGGCCACTGTCAGCAGCATCTGTGCCAGCTGAGAGGGGCTTTGGACCTGGCCCTGGGGGGATGTGAACGCTTTCTAGAGTTCTTCCTGGGGGCATGGAGCCCTCTAAAAAGAAGACAGGCTGTATTTCTTGAGGACATGGAGTCTTTCTCAAGGACACAGAACTCTTCCAGGTAACTGGAGCTCTTCCCAGGACATGGACAACTTCCTCAGGGCCTGGAGTCCCCCTGCTTCATGGAATGCTTCTTAAGGACTGGAGCCTAAGCAGACGCAGAGCCCCTCAGGACTAAGGAGTCCCTCCTGCAGGTGTAGAGCCCTTTCTGGGCTGTGGAGCCTTCCTGAGACATGGATTCCTTCAAAGTCCTGTCAGGAACATGGAATCATTCCAGAGGAAGTGAAGTCTATCTTGGGGAAATCAAATTTCCAGATTTTCCGAGAGGCTCAGCAACTCTGGCCTCAGGCTTCCTTCCCAGAGGCAGCATCTGGGCTGAGCTGTGCTGGGGAGGAGGGATTGCAGGATGGATGGAGCTGGGACTGGGGCTGGCTGGGTGGCTGGTATCCTCGGTTGATACAGGTGGAGTCTGTGTGTCTCCAATGAATGAAGAATGGTTCTGTGCCTTTTTTTCCCCTGGGGTCAGCGGTGTGGGGAAAGGGGGAAAGAGGGACCTTCAGAGAATCAGCAGGGCTAATGGGAGCCTGGCCTGAATAAGCTGCTGGGAGCTACTGCCGGAGACTTTTGTCACACCATATATAGTCTCATCCCTCTCATCTGGCCCCTGCGTTCATTTCTAAACACTTTCTAATGCCTATTCCGCAATTCCTATTGAGCCCAGTCTGCAGTAGCTGAGAGGTGTGTGTGTGTGTGTGTGTGTGTGCGCGCGCGCATGTGCGTACAATGAGATGATTTAAACCAGTGAGACAGACTTTCCTTATGACACCCACACCCAACACAGAAGGAAGCCAAGGTCCCAGGAAATTGTAATAGCAGGTGCATATCTCAAGTATGCAAGAAATATCACAAGAATGTAATTTCTGTTTTGAGCCCCCATTTTCCCTGAGGGCCAGAAAAGATCTTTTGTCCATTTGGGATTCCTTCTCTTTCCATGAGGGTCATAGCTGAGTTCTGAGGGTCTTACATAATGCCCAGAGTTTGGGAGAGGGTTCTGCCTGATCACCGATGTCCATACTTCATCCGTCCCCCGAGATTGCCGTCATTCCATCTGGTCCCAGTCAGAGGTCCAGACAGTTCATCTAGGATGCAGAGAGATTTCTTGTTCCTATTTGCATAACCCTTTTAGTCCTAAGGTTCTCTCTGCCACTTCTGTGCCATATATGGAGACCTGTGAAGTGGTCTAAGTCCTTGGCTATGCAGACACACCTTGAAGCTGTTTCTGCTCTGGGTTTTGACAGACAAGGCATGAGTTGCTGCCTCTTTTAAAACCTGCAGATCTATCTTGGCCTGGGGTGTGGGGCTGAGGGACCCTCCCTTTTGGAACCCTCTGTGTCAGTAGTTCCTCTCCTCTCTCCTTGCTCCTCCTTTTGTTACTATTGGAGGTGAGGAAGCCTTACTTTTACTTATGTTTTCTCCTGAATCTTTTATCTATGCCTTAAGCCTTTTCTGTTCCCTTCAGGACCTACGCTTTGGAAGCCCAAAAGCCAGGAAACCATGCCTTTGTTGTTTGCCTTCTGCAATCACATTTCTTCCATGGGGCACTGAGCAGAGAATGGTCACTCAGCAGAGAATGACTACTCATGTGGCCATGTGAGTAGTGAGAAGCAGGGAGGGGATGTGAGCTCGGTGTCTTCCTACATCAGAAATACCACATTAAGATGTGTGGAGCCAGGTCACTGGGATTCTTGAACCCAAATAGCTGGGATTCTGGACAGAATCAGCAGAGTACAGAAGGCTCTGAAGTGGGAGACAGAGCTGGGGTGCAGGGGTCATAAGGGGCTTCCTAGAAGAGGGGCATTTGAACCAGGATTAGCTGAGTTGCCATGATGCCAAGGTATTGGGAGAGTGTTCTTTGTGGTCACCAGTGTCCATATGGTATCCCTCCCCTGAGATTTTCATCATTCCATGTAGTTCTCAGTCAGTAAAGCTCCTAGAATACTTGGGTAGTGCCTAGCCTGGTATGTGATGTAGTCCAATATATGTTAGCTTAAGGTCACCAAGTGTTTGGACATGGGGAGGGAACAGCAAGGGGGAATTCAGAGGCAGGAAACACATATTTACTCCGGGCCCTGAATAGTTCAGTGTGCCTGGGCCAGTGCATGTGCACATGCTTTCGTGTGTAGAGTAGGGTGGGGCAGGTAAGGGGCCAGTGATGTGGTTGGATAGATAAGTGGAGGTTGGGTCTTTATTCCATGGGAAATGAGGAGCCATTGGAGAGATTTAAGCAGGAGAGTAACATGATCAGATTGGGGTTTTGATGGCTGTGGCAGAGGATGGATTTTGGGGAGACCTTGGAGGATGAAGTGCAGTGACACGGCTAATGGAACATTTGGGGGAGAAATGGTGAAGCCTTCTTAACGTGATGTAGGTGGAAAGGAGAGGACTGATTTAAGAGCTCTTAGGAGTGAACTCTATAGGACTTGGTGACTGATTGGATATGTGGGGTGGTGAGGTATGAGAGAGCCTAGGATGATGGTTATATTCTGACGGGGGGTGGTGCCATTCCCTGAGATGGTGACACCACTTTGGATGGGGGGATGATGAGTTCCACTTTGGACAGTTTGATGTGTATGTGGGATTCCTGGGGGAAAGGGGGCCAGCAATATCACAGTGCTGGACCTAGCAGCTGAACCAGGCCTGTCTCCAGGCTTCCAAAATGGGGATCCTTGGTTGTCTCCTGACTTGTCTCAGTGGGGGAGATCCCAAGATTCAAACAGCCCCTCCTTGCCTTGAATACAGGGCCGTGGCTGGCAGATAGTGCTGCACCCTGGCACTTATCTGTACACGCAACTGGACTAAGACCCCTGAGCACCTGCAGCTGCCTGGAGCATGTTGAGCAGCACAGGGCTCAATCCCCACATGCTGATGTTCTGAAGGCTTCTGAGTGACAGTTCAGTCCTGCAAACTTTCCATAGGGAATGTGCTGTGTGAGCACAGAGATGAGCCAAATGCGACTGAATCCTGCTCTGAAGGAGCTCACGCGGTGGTGAAGTGTCATGAATTTGAGTTAGATGGGCAGGTGTGAAGTGGGAGATCCTGACGAAGTGCTGTAGGATGTAAAGAGAACAGTCTCAAAGTGCAATGGGAAAGGATGTGTGAAAGAGATGGTGTTTAACCTAGCTTTGGAAACTAGTCCCAGGTATTATCAGAGAACAGCACAATACGTGCAAGGGTGCAAACACATGAGGGTAGGGCAGGACAGATAATGTAGCGAGGGGACAGTCGTGTGAAGGGTGTAGTGGAAAATCAGGCTGAAGAAGCAGGTAGGGGCAGATTCTGGAGGGCTTTGAGGACTCAGCTGAAGAATTTGGAGTTAATGGTAATGGGAGCTGTCAAAAGTCCTTGATCAGAAGAGTGATGAATCAATCCAGGTTTGACCAAAATAACAGAACCGCTACGAATGATAAAAAGATGAGATCTGCTGGGCGCGGTGGCTCAAGCCTGTAATCCCAGCACTTTGGGAGGCCGAGGCGGGTGGATCATGAGGTCGAGAGATCGAGACCATCCTGGTCAACACGGTGAAACCCCGTCTCTACTAAAAATACAAAAAATTAGCTGGGCATGGTGGCGCGTGCCTGTAATCCCAGCTACTCAGGAGGCTGAGGCAGGAGAATTGCCTGAACCCAGGAGGCGGAGGTTGCGGTGAGCCGAGATTGCGCCATTGCACTCCAGCCTGGGTAACAAGAGCGAAACTCCGTCTCAAAAAAAAAAAAAAAAAAAAAAAAAAAAAAAAGATGAAACCTTTACAGCCATGGGAGCAGTTGGAGAAATCTGTGCAAAGCTGTTACCTCTGCATTTGGTGTTGGGCCTGAAGCTACTACAGCTCACTGGGCCAGCAGTTAGGAAAGAAGGCTGAGTGTGAAGTGAGGGACAGTAAGGGCACACTAGAATCTGGGAGGACAAACTGGAACCTGTGCCTGGCTCTTGTGCCTTCAATCTCACTGACTGTGGCGACCTGCAGGAGAAGCTGGCATCTTTGCCATGGAGCTTGCACTTGGCCCAGCACTCAGCACAGTGGAAGGAGGTGACTTGGTGGGGACTGGATGGGATGTGCTAACAAGGGGAGCCAGCAGATTAGTGACATGTGAGTGCCCCCACTGTGTCTGCTGCAGTTCTTTTTTTTGTCTTTTTTTTTGAGATGGAGTCTTGCTCTATCATCCAGGCTGGGATGCAGTGGCACCATCAGCTCACTGCAGCCTCCACCTCCTGGGTTCAAGTGATCCTCCCTAGTAGCTGGGACTACAGGCACACCACCACACCCAGCTAAGTTTTTGTATTTTTGGTAGAGGCAGGGTTTCATCATGTTGCCCAGGCTGGTCTCAAACTACTGGCCTCAGGTGATCTGCCAACCTCCGCCTCCCAAAGTGCTGGGATTACAGGCGTGAGCACCATGCCTGGCCCACTTTTGCCTTCCAAATCTCATGCAAACTTCTCTGTGGCCAACCCTAACCCAGAGCCTCTAACCTAGTTTGGCTGACCCAGTACAAAGCCACCACAGGTGAGCTAACCAGAGCTTTCTTGGGACGATTAACCTGGCAGCAGCCCATGAAGGATGGATGGTCAAGATATAGAAAGCCAAATCTCCAGTAGCTCTTGGGTTGGCACTGTCAGCTGGTGTGGTAGTCATCAGGCCATTCACAAATCTCTCTGTGCCTCTCTTTTTCCATCCAGACACACGGTATCGTGCTTCTCCCTCTTAACAGTAGTGTGGTTCTGTGCTTTCCTGTTGCCATTGTAACGTAGGTGGAAGCAACACAGCCACTTCTGAGTAGAAGCTTTAAGAGTCAGTGCAGGCTTTGTTACTTTCCCTTTTGTCATGGTGACCAGCAGTGTTCCCAATGGTAGCTACTTTGTCATCCTGAGTCCCAGAGGGGTGAGGACCACGATGTGGAGCAGAAGCCCCACCAGCCTCTGTGGACCTGCAGCAGAAGCAAGAAACAAACTTTAATGGTTTTAAGCCTCTGAAGGTCATGACCACAGCAAAACCTAGCCTATGCCGGTGGACAGGCAGAGGGCAACAGTAGCAGTGGGAGGCTTTCCTGGAGAGCAGACCTCCTCTCAGCAGAGCTAGGACAGCAGCCTTCACCTCTGCGTTCCTCAGACTGTGGATGATGGGGTTCAGTGAGGGCGTCACAACCCCATAGAAATGCGACAATCTTATCCACATTGGTGTCCTTGGCCTTGGGCTTGAAGTACATGAAGGAGATGGTCCCGTAAAACACCACCACCACTGTGAGGTGGGCTGAGCAGGAAGAGAAGGCTTTGTGTCGGCCTGCAGCAGAGGGTACCCTAAGGATGGTAGCCAGGATGAAAAGGTAAGATAGACAGATGAGCAAGAAGGGGGGCAGTGTCAGGACAGCTGTGGCCACCATTAATGCCAGCGCATTGAGGGAGATGTCCCCACAGGCCAGTTTTAGCACTGCCAAGATCTCACAGAAGAAGTAGTTGATGACATTGTGGCCACAGAAGGGGAGGCGCCAGACAAGGACGGACTGTAGCAGTGAATTGGCAAAGCCTGTCCCCCAGCTCAGCACTGCCATCCGCATACAGGTCTGTCTGCTCATGAGCTCTTGGTACCTAAGTGGTTGGCAGATAGCCACATAATGGTCATATGCCATCATGGCCAGGAGCAGGCACTCCGTTGATCCCAGCACCAGGGTCAGGTACATCTGCAGGGCACAGCCAGGGAAGGAGATGGTCCTCTGGGCTTCCAGGAAGTTGACTAGCATGAGAGGCACAAAGGAGGAGGTGCCACAGATGTCCATGAGGGAGAGGTTGCTCAGGAAGAAGTACATGGGGTTATGCAGGCAAGGGTGCAGCACGTTCAGTCCTATGAGGAGGGCGTTCCCCAGCACATTCATGGAGTACACACCCAGGCAGAGCACAAACAGGACCACCTCCAGGTTACGGTGCTTATGTAGCCCCAGCAGGACATACTCCGTCACAGCTGTCTGGTTTCCTCCCTTCTTCTCATTCTCTCTCCTTTTCCATCTGGACCACCCAGCTTTTTGGAAAAAGCTCCAACTGGCCTGGGAGCCTAGTGACCTGGATGTCTGGCCTGCAGCAGGTCAGCCTCCCTCTCTGGAATTTAGTTTCACCATCTGTATAATGAGGGAGTTGGACTTCAGATCTGTAAGCTGGCCTTCTCAGCTCTGCGGTTCTGCTGCCGTCACTGGGGGAAGGATGGGGCACATTCTAGTCCCTGAGGCTCCTCTCCTCTCCTGAGGGCAGGGTCAGAGGAGACAACAGAGAAGGATTCATGTTTAAAATGGTCTTTTGGAATCCAGAGTGTTCTTGGCCATTAACTGGAAGCATCTTTTCTACATTGTGGTTCATATAACCAAATTATGCCCATGGTATTTCAGATTTATTCACTAAATATTCATTGAGTACCTACTCTGTGCTAGGTATCGGGCTGGGGCTACAGCAGTAAGGAAAATAGGTGGACAAAAGGATTCCACACCTGTCAGGCGCTGCCCCATTCCCTGAGTCAGGTGAGATGAGCTCTGGAAGGCAGGTGGGTGAGGGATGGTGCTCACCTGGTGTTCCTTTGGGCCATGAAGGTCAAATATTTCAGCCCCATAGGAAGCTTGATTTCTGGTCATCTCTCCTTAAGGAATCATGCACCATTAATTTTTTTTAAAAACGGCATGTAAGAACACACATGTCTCAATAGAGTTACTGGTCACAGGGTTGAACTCTGGTCATGAAAGCCAAGTGACTTACTTTCTGGCCTCCATATTGCATTGTAGGAGAAATGATACTGACAATGAATGATGTCACATGACGAGGGAAGCCAGGCGCGAATCTAGTGATGTGGTCAGTCACGACCAGCTTTGCAAAGGGAGCAGTGGGCGAGGCTGTGGTCTCTCCCAGGTGACCTCCATCACTGTGCACAGCTGCTCTCACTTCTCCTTGGGAAAGGCCAGCATCGTGTATTCCTAGGAGGAAGCCTAGATGTCCCCAAAGCACAGTAGTCTTGTTAGGACTGGAGAATTGTCTTATGGCCAGGTGGCCCCTGGTCTGAAGGAGAAATAGGAGCTGAGTGTGAACTTTTATCATTCAGAAGATATAATCCACCTCTCACCTCTGGCCCTTTGCTCCTGGATTGGTTGTGAGGACATCGCTTCGTGACAGCAATGGATCCCTGTCTGTCCTGGGCTAGATTTCTTTTTTCTTTTATTCCTCCTGTTTCATTATATCCACCATTTGTTGGGCTGCAGGGCTAACCCTTTCCTGAACAAACCATCTCTTTTCCCAGCTCTGCACCTTTGTCCGAGATGGAGGCGTGTCCTCCCTCCCATCCCCATACTGTTTTTTTTTTAACGTGTAGCATTTCAGGGTAAAGACCCATGAAGTGACTTGGTATATTCTAGACTGCTGCAAGAAAACCACTTCAAAGATTTTGTTGAAAGTTTTAGTGTTGTCTGAAAAGCAAGAGGGAAGGTGATTGGTAGTGAGTTAAAAGAAAAAGAAAGGAAAAGAGAGTAGTTTTGTCTTCATGTAAAATGTCTGGTTGTGCCAGACATTTCACAAGTGTGAAAGGAGATAGGAGAAGCTTACCTTGAGGGTGTGTAGTAAGTTGTAGAAGGCTCGAGGGGATGTGGACTTATTTGCCTTGGTTTGCAATACCTGCAAATAATGTTTGAAAAGAAACAATGAAATGTGTTGAAAATTTGACCATATTAGATCAATTTTGGTGGATTTATTCATAAGGTGGAAAACGACTGGTGAATCTTTTTTTTTTTACAAATGTTTCTGTTAAAATGGGATCATCATCTTTTGAAAGGGGGGAGGGAGGAGTAAAAACCCGATTATGATGGTGATCAATTCAAGTCAGTGTTGACTATTCTGTGAAATATATTTGGCCAGTGGAAATGATAATCAGAAAAGACTGTAAATAGATCCATCCAAGTGATTTCTCTGTACAAATGAATGATACTATTAAAAAACGCACACACACACACACACACACACACACACACACACAAAGAATGACAGCAGGATGGTGGGTCTGGGCAGCACCACTGTCAATTCTGGACTTGAGCATGTGTGCCTCTTCCTTGGGTGTGAGTGTGTGAGTTCACCCAGAGGCCTGCTCTCCTCATACCTTGTGCGGTTTTGGGTTAACCATCGTAGAGAGACACCTCCTCATGGATGGCAGGTGCCTGCTCTTCAGGGAGTCTCCCAGCATGGGAGGATGCAGGGCCTGAGCTGCTGTCAACGATTTGTGGCCGTGCTGCTTGAGTGACATTCCTGTCATGTGGGTGCCAAGTGCTTGTGTAGAACTGTGTTCTGAGCCCCTTTTTTTGGACACCGACTGTGTCCTGTGAATGTATCGCTACTGTGAGCCGTGGAAATGCAGACCACAGCAGGTGTTCCGCTCATTCTCTAGAGCCCTGCGCAGCACCATCTCCTTTTCTTACCCTCTTCCCCTTGTGGTTACCTGCTCCCTTCTTGTGCTCCCTCTGCCCTTGGCCATCCCTCTGTGTCACTGTGCTGTGTGGTGCACCTGTCTTCCGTATTACACCTTAAGAGCCAGACTCTGCCTCCTTCCTACCAGCACCTCATGCAGCAAGTGCTGCCAATGGCAGGCACCCAGCAGAGAGCGAATGCACGACTCCAAAACCCAGCTTTGCCTCCTGGCTGTAGTTCAGACTACCCGTGTTATATTGCCCAAGTCTCTTGACCTCTCTCAGACTCAGCTTTCTATTGAAGACTGGGATGCTGTGTAGCTCAGAGGAACCATGCACCTGAAGGTGCTGCCCTGGGGGGTGCAATGACATGTTACTGAGGCTGGATGGAGGATGACATCCATTGTCAGCTACAGGTGCCTGCTCCATCTGTACTAGCCACCTCCTGGACAAGGGCTCCAGGGTCCTCCATGACACCAGCTTTCTCCAGAGCCTGTGCAGAGTTTCCTTCCTTTACCCTGAATCAGGGTGATTCTTACAGGACAGTTTCAGGAACCTACAGGGGCACTTGGGTAACCTCGGTCAGTAACTAATCTTAACTGTTATCCACGTGAACATCTATAGTTAGGGTTTTTCTTGGTGAGATTTGGCAGAAGTAAAGAATTGCCAAGCCTCATTCATTCACTCATTCAGCAAATAGTTATTGAGCACCTACTGTGTGTTAGTCCCTGGGCCAGGTGCTGGGAGTATAGCAGAGGCAGACCTGGCTCCTGCCCTCGTGGAGTTTGCAGTCATTCATTCACTCACTTGGTGACTTTGGACACCTCCCTTCCTCTCTCCAGGCTTTAGATCTCTGAGATTCTCTCTGAGTCTGGGTTGTAATAGACAAAGTAAAACCTGAAATCTGGAGAGAACTATAAAAGCTTTGTTTTTGATGGTTGTGTTGTTACAGAAAGAACTATGTTCATCTCAAATTCTGACACTGGATACAGCTGTGGGGGTTTCAAGCAGGTGAAGGGTGGAAAACCACCTGATGGCATTTTTCTTCATCACTGAAGCCTCTAACAATGAGACCAAGTGGGCATGGCAGAGGCATCTGAGGGCTTTTGTGTGCAGCCTCTGGCTGGTTCTCCTGCCTCGCCTCCACCACATCCCTCACGCGCACCTGCTTCAGCCTCGCCAGACCACTCCCTGTCTTTTAGACAAAGCCTGCATGCTCCAGTCCTGTCCCTCTTCTTGGGCAATTTCTTCAGGCTGGAGTGCCTTTCTTTTCTACTCATCCTTCAAGGCTCAGTCCACACACCACCCTCTTGGGCAGCCTTCTCTCAGATGGCTTCACAAAACTGACCACCCGGACAACAGGACGGTCACACAGCTGTTAGCAGAGGTTAATTTCATTCTGCCTTCATTATAGTTCATTTTTTGTATATCTCTCTCTGACTAGACTGTGAGCTATTACAGTGAAAGGGCTGTGTCCTTCATCACTGTCACCCTCCAGTAACCCGTAGCCAGGAGGTGTCAGTGATTGCTATTTGAGTTGAACTGTTTATTGAGATCTAGTGTTGTTCTGCCCAAAATCTTGATCTTAGGTGCAGTGGTTTGCACTCGTGGTCTCAGCTACTCGGAAGGCTGAGGTGGGAGGAGCAGTTGAGCCCCAGGAGTTCCAGGTTACAGTGAGCTACGATCATGCCACTGCATTCCAGCCTGGGCAACAGAGTGAAACCCGTTCTCTAAAAAAGCAAACAAGAGTGCTGATCCCAAGGTCTTGCCTCAAGATCAATTCCCCCTTCCCTCTCCAACACACACACCGGAACAGAATGGTACAGCTACTGTGATTGCTAGGAGAAAGGCTTCAGGGGGTGCCAGTCCCCTACTTGCAGTAACACCTGCTCTTTCTGAAGAGCTACATCAGGAACATGGTGGGTTTTCCTCACAACTTCAGAGTCTGATCATGGAAATTAGAACCAGCACATGAAACCATAGGCTTATGGCCCTAAAGAGATACGTCCATGTCCAGAAAATGCCATGTTGCCAGGTTGCCAACAGCTTTGCCTACAACATGGGCACAGACTGGGACATCAGAGAGTAGCTGGTGTTCCCTTGGTGGGTGAGGTGGGATGGGCTAAGTTATGTTGCAGTCACATACAACCTCGTCATTTTAGTGGCCAGCATGACAGAAGTATATTTCTCATGCTACATGTCTACTGTGGCTTTTCAGGGGGCTCAGTTCTCAGAGCCCCTGGCAATGGCGGCTCCACCCTGTGGGTTACAGATGGGGAAGGACACACTGGAGCCTCTGGTACCAGTTCACTACTCTGAGCCACATGAGACATTCGTCATATCTGCCCATAGCCCACTGGCCCTGTGGCATCCTACCACTTGCCTGGAAGGAAGAGAACCAGAATTACTGCTGAGCAGCCCCTCTGCATGTGGATGCAATGGCATCTTACGACACTCAGAAAGCTACTCTAGTGGCCATCTGCCAGTATCACGCAGTGTCTAGCTCCGTCATGGCCTGGAAGATCAGAGTCACAGAGTCACAGGACCTGGAGTGTCTCTGAAAACAATTGTCTGGTTTCACTCCCTGGTTTTACACATCTTGAGAGGCAGGGTGATGCCTACAGCGAGCCCTGGACTGGGAGGAAGGGGCCCGGGTTTGAATCGGGGCCTTCGTTCCTCTTCTGCTGTATGACTTTGGTCAGATTTCTCCTTCTGAGAAGTGGAGCCAATGAGGCAATCTCCAGTACACTGTAACCTCTGAAACATTTCCTCACGTTTCTAGCAACTTCCAGTCTGAGGTCTGATAGACCCAGGGTTACTCTGCAAGCTAAATGTCATATCAGTCTCGTCTGGCAAATCTAATTTTAACCACTTACTACTTATTTTAGGCTTCACAAATTATTTTAAAAGAAAGGAAAGGGGCACAACAAGAAGAAAGCTTCAGTTACAATTTACCCAAAATGCCTGGATCTGGAATTCCTGCTTCCTGGCTGTGTGGAGAGAAGATGAGGATGGCCCTGGAGTCAGACAGGACCAGGGTCCAAGCCCCAGCTCTTCCACTTGTTAACAACGTTCTTAGCCTCAGCGTCCTTACCTGTAGCATGAAGATGGCAGTATTTCCTTGTGGGCTTATTTTAAGTATCCGGTGAGAGGAAGCATGCGAAGCTCTTAGAACAGAGCCTGGCACATGGTAAATAGTCAGTGAGCAGTAGATGATGTTATTACCATCCTGTTCCTGTCCCCAAGCAAATATTTGGGCTTTGAAATGTTTTAAATGATTTCATGAGAATAAGCAGTGTGTCAGATGAATTCTCCTTACGTCCCTCCTAGTTACTGGCCATGGCCTGAATGTTTGTAAGGAGAGCTGGAGCCAGGTGAGGGGAACTGAGGTCTGGGAAGTACTGAGTTCATTACCAGCAAGTGCACAGTGCTGGGATGGACCAGGTCCCCACCCCTCACCCCACCATCACCCGCCACAGGACCTGCCTCTTGCTCCCTTGCTAATAGACAGTCTGTTTGCTCCCTGCCCCCAGGGACCTCATGGTCCCTGCCCAATTTAAAGTTCAAACTCTGTAACTACACAAAGTTGCAGGTTTGGCAGCCATGTGACCTGAGCTTCAGAGACTCCAGGTTCCTCGGCCTGCCCCAGGAGGGCTGTTGAGGTGAGGTGGGCAGAGGAGAGAGAGTGGACAGAGAATCTGAAGACCGGGTCATGCAGTTCTGCCCTTTGGATGCCACAGGCTCCAGGCCCACGGCCCCGGCTTCACTAGGCCTGGTATCTGGGCTGTGAAATGGGGTGTCTCCTTCCAGGATTGCCGTAAGAACCTGGATTCATCAAAGCTTAAAGTAAATTGCTTTGCAAGGTGGCAGACACCGAGTACATGCGAGGGACTTTATTAGGTCAGGGATTTAGTCAGGCACCTGAGCGTCTACAAATTTCTTTATTCCTGTTCCTTCCCCTCCCCTTCCTGTCCGTTCACAAAAAAGAATAACAACTTGACACAGCTTAGAGACTAAAAATCATCCTTAAATAAAGCAGCAGAAGTTATTTCACATTATGCTATGATTTATCTTCTGGAATTTTTATCAAGAACATAGGTCAAAGTAAAAAATATAAAGGTCGTTACTGTTTATTTTCTATCTGCTCATAACACATTGTCCTCTTGCTGCCCCATGAATACCCCGAACTCAGCAGGTCGAAGACAAATTCATCATCTTCCCACTCTCCCCATCTACTTCGCTCATCCTGCCCACCTCAGTGTCTCACTCCACCCAAAATAAGCCAGAAACCCAGGATCAACCCACAGTCCTCACTCTCCCTCCCTCACTCTATAATCCCAGATATCTCTCCCAGATATTATTTTACATATGTATACCATTGGCCCTTGAATAGCATGGATTTGAACTGTGCAAGTTCACTTATGCTCGTATTTTTCAATAAATATATTGGGATTTTTTTTTGACATTTGCTACAATTTGAAAAAACTCTCAGATGAACTGCCACCCAGAGACAGCAAGACCAGCCCCTCCTCTTCCTCCTCCTCCTCCGTCTACTCAATGTGACATTGACAATGATGAAGACCTTTATGATGATCCACTTCCATTTAATAGATAGGAAACATTTTTCTCCTCCTTATGATTTTCTTCATAACATTCTCTTTTCTCTAGCCTTATTGTAAGAATACAGCGTATAAAACATATAACATACAAATTATGTATTAATCGACTTTTTATGTTACTGGTAAGGCTTCCAGTCAACAGTAAGCTATTAGTAGTTAAGATTCGGGGGAGTCAAAAGTTATACATAGATTTTTTTACTGTGAGGAGAGTTGGCACCGCTCACCCCCGTGTTGTTCAGGGATTAATTGTAATCCCAAATATTATATCATCTCCCAAAGGTTATTTTGTGTCAATATCTATCTCCCCAGCGTTTCTCAGGGCCACCCTCCCCTCTACTGCCCGGCTGGCTCAGGCCTCACTGAGGGCCTGGGTGATGGCAGCAGCTTCCTCCCTGCCCTGCCCTCAGGATGAAGCCTTTCTCATCTGTCCTCTACTGTGGGCAAGGTGGTCTCCATATACCATTATTTTTATTTTTTTTGAGACGGAGTTTCACTCTTGTTACCCAGGCTGGAGTGCAATGGCACAATCTCGGCTCACTGCAACCTCCGCCTCCTGGGTTCAGGCAATTCTCCTGCCTCAGCCTCCTGAGTAGCTGAGATTACAGGCACGCGCCACCATGCCCAGCTAATTTTTTGTATTTTTAGTAGAGACGGGGTTTCACCATGTTGACCAGGATGGTCTCAATCTCTTGACTTCGTGATCCACCCGCCTCGGCCTCCCAAAGTGCTGGGATTACAGGCTTGAGCCACCGCGCCTGGCCCCATATACCATTATTTTTAAAGCTCAAAGTCACAGTCATCATAGAAATGTTGGATAATGTTGAAAAGAATAATTTAGAAAACAGGACTTATCTGTAACCCCGTCACCCAGAGGAAACAACTGTTAGTTAATATTTGGCCATCATTTTCCGGTATTTCCCAGATACTCACTTATTCATAGATCTGTAAGAAAAATACTTGAAGAGTTAAAATTGAGATCATACTAAAATACAGTGTTATATGTTCTGCTTTTTTTTTCTATTAATTACCTTAGGAACAGTGCCCATTATCATATACCCTTCAAAAAATAAGATTCCAGGGGCCGGGCGCGGTGGCTCACGCCTGTAATCCCAGCACTTTGGGAGGCCGAGGCGGGTGGATCACGAGGTCAAGAGATTGAGACCATCCTGGTCAACATGGTGAAACCCCGTCTCTACTAAAAATACAAAAATTTAGCTGGGCATGGTGGCGCGTGCCTGTAATCCCAGCTACTTAGGAGGTCGAGGCAGGAGAATTGCCTGAACCCAGGAGGCAGAGGTTGCGGTGAGCCGAGATCGTGCCATTGCACTCCAGCCTGGGTAACAAGAGCGAAACTCCGTCTTTAAAAAAAAAAAAAAAATAAATAAAATAAGATTCCAGGCCAAGCATGGTGGCTCATGCCTGTAATCCCAACACTTTGGGAGACTGAGTTGGAAGGATCATTTGGGCTCAGGATTTCAAGACCAGCCTGGGCAATATAGCAAGACCTCATATCTATTAAAATAAAATAAATTAGCTGGGCTTGGTGGCGAATGCCTGTCCTGAGAGCAGTGAGGAGCCATCAGGGATTTCAATGAGAAGCGTGATGCGATCACACATGCATTTCAAAAAGATGCTCCGTGGAGGAGAGATTGGAGGGAGAAATAGGACTGAAGTCTTGGGACCAGCCAGGAGGCTGGTGTGAAGGCCAGGGGTGACACGGAGAGCTGACCTAGGGCAGTGGTAGGGGCAGGAGCAGAGGATGATTTGGGGGCTGTTCTATGGCAGGATCAGCAGGACTTGGTGCTGCCTTGCTGGGATGAAGATACCAGACCTGTAACCCTAGTCTTGCCATGTCCTCACTGGCATTGGCATATGATGGCCTCAGTACTAACCTGAGACCTGCATCTGTACAGAGCCCCACTTCCTCACCCGGAGGTCCACCTCCTGCCCCACACCTTCCTGGCAGCCTCCTTCACTTCCTTGTTCCTCAGGCTGTAGATGATGGGGTTCAGCATGGTTGTGACCATGGCATAGAGGACTGCGAAGACCTCATCAGAGATATGGGCTTCCTTGCTCTTGGGCTTCATGTACATGAAGATGATGGTGCCATAGAAAAGCAGCACCACAGCCAGATGTGCTGAGCAGGTGGAGAAGGCTTTGTGGCGCCCGGCGGCTGAGGGCACTCTCAGGATGGTGGCCAGGATGAGCAAGTAGGACAGGCAGATGAATGCCAGGGGCACAGACAGCAGCAGGATGGAGCCCGCCAGTAGGAAGTCTTCACTGACCGACATGTTGCTGCACCCCAGCTTCAGCACTGCCAGGATCTCGCAGGTGAAGTGACTGACCACATGGTGGCCACAGAAGGGCAGCCTCATGGCAATGACCGTCTCAGTCACTGACTTGAGGAGGCAGAGGACCCAGGCAGCTCCCGCCAGCAGCACACAGAGCCGGTGGCTCATGAGCATGTGGTACCTGAGTGGCTGGCAGATGGCCAGGTAGCGGTCGTAGGCCATGATGGCCAGCAGCAGGCATTCCGTAGAGCCCGTGGACAGGTTCAGACACATCTGGATGGCACAGCCAGTAAAGGAGATGGTCTTCCAGGATGACAGGAGGTGGACCAGCATCAGGGGCACAAAGGTGGACGTGTAGCAGATGTCTAGGGTGGAGAGGTTGCCCAGGAAGAAGTACATGGGTGTGTGCAGGTGGACATCTAGCACGCTTAACGCCACAATGGCTGTGTTCCCCAGCAGGGTCACCAGGTACATGGCTGAGCACAGAAGGAAGAGCAGGTGCTCCAGGAAGGGGTAGCCAGAAAATCCTTTCAGAAAGAACTCGGATACCCCTGTTTTGTTGAGCGGCTCCATGCTGCAGATTTCTGAAGGGATGATAGGCAGCTGGGATGGAAGGAGAGAGGGTACAGGTGTAGGAAGCTCATAGAGCCCTTCTGGGACTAGGTGGACTGTTAGGATCTTTTCCAGCACTGCCACAGTGGCTCTCTGTGACTTTGGGCTATCCCTTTACACTCTCTGGGCCTCAGTTTATCCATGTGAAAAATGAGGATTGATTGAGATCAGAATTTCCAAAGAGAATGTTGGTCAGAACATTAGTAACCAAGCTGAAAAATCAGTTTGAGACAACGGATTAATGAAAAATGAAGCTCTTTACTGCAGGACTTCTCAGAGCCTTTAATATGCTAATGTGACCTATGACTCCCACAAAGCAATATAGAACATGTTTCCCCAAACTTATTTGATCATGGATCCCCTTTTACAGAACACCCATTAACCTACTGCAGATATGTGTTCTATGAATATAGTCTGCAAAACAATGGGCTAGATCAACAGTTCTCAAAATTTAACGTGTACCAGAATCACCTGGCAAGTTTGTTAAAACAGATTGTTGGGCTCCAATCCTGGTTTCTGACTCAGTGGGTCTGGGTGATGCTTCTGCTGCTGGTGCAAGTACCAAACTTTGAGGAACCATTGGGTTAGATGGTCTCTGAAGGTGGAGATCCTCCTGGCTTTAAGGAAGCCTATGAGCCATCGCATTTGCTCTGCCCACTGTCTGGAATGTCCTCAGCCTGCAGTGGTCTGACCTGTCTCTTCAGGCCTTCTCTAGTATCCAGGCACAAAGCATACACTGTGCTGTGTGTCGGAGGGGCTGCTGGCCTTGAAGCCTATCGGTGGGTGTGTTCCCCTGTCCCTGCCCAGGGCCTGCTTCATCAGCTACTTTGTATGGATTGGACCTTCACAATCTGCCTTCCTGTGGGTTTCGCAGCTAAAATCTGATGGAGCTCTTGGCCCAGCTCCAAACCCCTGTTTTCTGTGGGCCAGAGCCAGAGCTGCTCTGACTTGATGAACTCTTAGGGTATTAGTGTGGAACATGCCCCGAGGCCAACTTGTTGGAACTCCCATTTTGTAGATGGGGAAGCTGCGGTCACACCGCAGGTCTTTGGTGAGGTGAAGCTTGAATCCAGCTCTCCTAACAGTGTGTCACATGTGCCATGCTCAGAGCGGGTGTATGCTTCCATAGGTCTCAAACAACGCTTGTTCTTCCACTGTTCTAGATGGACACCTGTGCTCTGGGTGCTGCCACAATCCTCTCACCAGCAAAAGGGCATGAGTCACCTCTCTTTGGTATTCCAGGGTATCTGGCCCTGTGCCATTAATCCCTTGGGCCACGATGCCACAGCCTGGGCCTGGGCAAGCACAGTTCCCCTCAGTGCCTCCCTTGTAGGAGACCATTTCCATCTTTTATTCCTCCCTCACTTACTCATCTCAGAACCTAAAAGCGACTGAGGACCTACTACATGCCAGGTGTCCCAGATGTGAGGGAGCACTGAGGACAGGTGTGGCCCCAGGCTGTTGAATACAAACCCTTCCTAGGCAGAGAGGACCCCCAACTCTCCCATACCCAGTCTCGCCCTGCCCCACCCACTCTCCCATACCCAGCCTCCCCCTCCCCCCACTCCTCCATACCCAGCCTCCCCCTCCCCACACTCTCCCATACCCAGCGTCACCCTCCCCTCACTCTCCCATACACAGCCTCACCCTGCCCCCACCCTCCCATACACAGCCTCATTCTCCCCCCACTCCCCCATACCTAGCCTCATTCTCCCCCCACTCCCCCATACCTAGCCTCATTCTCCCCCCACTCCCCCATACCTAGCCTCATTCTCCCCCCACTCCCCCATACCTAGCCTCATTCTCCCCCCACTCCCCCATACCTAGCCTCATTCTCCCCCCACTCCCCCATACCTAGCCTCATTCTCCCCCCACTCCCCCATACCCAGCCTCATTCTCCCCCCACTTCCCCATTCCCAGCCTCACTCTCCCCCCACTCCCCCATACTCAGCCTCATTCTCCCCCCATTCTCCCATATTCAGCCTCATTCTCCCCCAACTCTTTCATACCCAGCCTCATCCTGCTTCTGTTTGCTTGTCTCTAGTGACAGGAAGCTCATTACTCCTGTACATATTTTTCTTCCTTTCTTTCTGCTGTCAGGCTATTTGAAGGGTCACAAGTGGAGTCTCTCTAGGTCTCACTGGGCCTTCACCACTCATGAGGTTTCCAGGCTGGGTGGCCCCTCTAGCTACTCCTTCTTCTCCCAGAGTATGAGTGCAGGGTTCAGAGCTTAGCCCTGCACAGAGCCCTCCCTCAGGGAGTTCGGGGCACCTTGCAGCTAGATCTGTGATCCGGTCCTGGGGCCTGAGAGAAAAAGGCTTGTCTCACTTGACTATGTCCAGACTCACCATGGGGCTGGGTGCAGGTGAGCTGCAAGTTTCCTTCCAGCCTTCAGAGTTCCCAGCCAGGAGCCTCTGAGGCTGGGGTCCTGGAGAGGGACCCCCATTTAACAGAGCATGAGCAGAAACAAGCACTGTGCCAGGGCTGGGGTGGCTCCCGTGGCTGGCTCAGGCACCACCTCCTCTGCATGCTTCCATGTACTACAGCTTATTCCCAAAAGTCACAAGGAAGCATCTGCAGCTTTGGCTACCTGTTGGAATATACATACAGGTCACCACATGTGCACTCACCTACAGGTGAACACACAAATACCAGTGTGACATACAGGTACACACATGTGTGCCTGTGAGTATAAGCCACACATAGGCTCATATGTGTAACTGCGTTGTCATTCACGTGAGTGTACCCGCATTAGGTACCAGACACTCACTCTCTCTTACATACGTGTGCACACACATGCCCACATCCCATAAGGCATCCCCTTGAACCTGGGGCCGGGGTGCTTCAGAAGGCTGGGCAGATTCCTTAGTCCCTGGGAGGAGGTGTGTGGAGACCATGGCCAGGAGGGGTGGCAGGGGCATCGCTAGGAAGGAGCAGCTCTGAGGGAAGGGAGCAAACTCTGCCTACAACAACCCAGGAGGACACGGGAGCCCCAGAGCAAGGGCAAGCTGCCAAAGGACCTGGGGCTCCCTGCTCTTCCTTCTGCCCTTCAGCTGGGGGATGGGGCCTGCAGGAGGAGGAGGAACAGGACGGATGCTGTGGACTCTGGTTCCCAAAGCACAGCCAGAAAGCTTTGTCTGCAGATCCCATAATGTTCTTTCTGCTCTTGCCTCCTTCCTGACAGAATGCTACGGAAAAACCAGTTCAAATGGCACCTCCACAGGGAACCTTCCTGTCTCCTCCCCAAGGCTGCACGGAGCTCTCTCTCTTTTTCGCTCCATGGCCCTAGGTTTAGACCTCTTGGAGGTCTCTCTCTCTCTCACTTCTGGCCTGCTTCCCATCCCAGCCAGCCTGCAGGGATGTCACCCTTCCTCTCCTCTCCCAGGTTTGGAAGACCAAGCTGAGACCGACAGCCTGGACACGGTCAACTTCCCCCGACTTGCTGTGACATTCGTGGCTAAGGCAAACTGGGAGTGAACCACTGGATGCCAAATACGGGCTGGTTCCAGCCTAGGTGACACCTTGGCAGAGCTGGGAGGGGTTTTACAGATCAGCTGGACTGCCCCCCTGTTATACATGGGGAAACTGAGGCCCAGTGAGGAGAAGAGGCTTGCCCAGTGTTGCGGAGTCAGTCGGAAGGGGAAGGCAAGGCCCTCATCTTCTCAGGCTCTTGACTCCCTCCTCTGCCTTCACGTCCCATTTCTCACTCACCTTCAGGCTCCTCCGGATCCACTGGAGGATGTTTCAGAGGGTTTGAGACCAGGGATCTTTTCTATCTGGAGCTAGCAGGATACAGTTCAAAGAAGTAGGCCTGTGCCTCCTAAATATAGAGAATCCTGGTGAACAGGACACAGGGTTTCACACCAGCCCAGCTTTCCAAACTCTGAAAACATGCCTGGACTTTCATAGAATTCAGCAAAGGGTTTGAAATTTGATAGAATTCAATGGAGCTTTTGGAATTTGGTAGAACTATACAAACTGCTTAGAATTCAGTGCGTTTCTCAGCAATGTGTCAGGTTTGGTGAAATTTAGTAGTTTACTGTGGGCAGCCAGGGACCCCCTACCTGGCAGCACCCAGCTCATCTGGCCGACAGCCTCTGGGGGAGCAGGCAGGTCGTATGGAGGTGGCACCTTTCAAAGACCTCTGTGTACCAAGGGACTGTGCGATCCCTGAGGAAATTTAGAGGGAGGAGAGGAAATGTGCCCAGCTTAGAAACTTTGGGGCGCTTCAGGGATGATGTCCCAAAGACCCAATTATACAGAATCTATTTAGAAATCTTAATTGGTGTGGAAAAGTTGGCCAAAGTGGCTAAGGCACAGGAATTATCCTTTTAGGTCAGGCCCCACCCAGTGCTGATCCAGGAATGTTTACAGAATGAATATACGAATGGATGGATGAGCAATTAAATGAACACATAAGCACTTTTCTTTTTTCTTTTTTTTTTGAGAGGGAGTCTCGGCTTACTGCAACCTCCGCTCCTGGGTTCAAGTGATTCTCCTGCCTCAGCCTCCTGAGTAGCTGGGACTCCAGCGGTGCACCGCCATGCCCAACTAATTTTTAGGTAATTTTTAGTAGAGACGGGGTTTCACCATATTGGCGAGGCTGGTTTTGAACTCCTGACCTCATGATCCACCCGTCTCGGCCTCCCAAAGTGCTGGGATTACAGGCGTGAGCCACTGTGCCCAGCCGCAATTTTCAATGAATAAATAAATGTAAAAATAAATGAATGAGTGAACAAATGATAGGCAGACTTGCTTTCCAGGTGAGGAGCTAGAAGTCTTGGCTCAACTCTCACAGGGATCTTACAAAAGTGCAAAATCTAGGAACGTGAATAAAGGAGTGAACTGAACCGGAAGAAGAAGCACAGCCGAATTGTAGAATATCAGAGCAGGAAAGTCCTTAAAGGTTATCTTAACCCATGCTCTCTGTACAGGCGGGAGAACTGCACTAGAGAGGTGAAGGAGCTAGCTCAGTGTCACTTAATGAGGCAGAAGCATGGCCCTGTGTTGAC